AGAGAGAGAGAGAGAGAGAGAGAGAGAGAGAGAGAGAGAGAGAGAATAAGTCAGTTTAAATACACCCAGCAAGCTCGCTGCTAACAAACCCTGTGGAGATTTTGAAACACACAAATGAAGTTAAGCAAGGCAGGTGTACATGCTGACGTGTGTGCTGACTCAGCATGATTCAGTTTTACAACCCTGATTTGGGGCATTAGGTCCCGGTAAGGCCTCTGGAAATTTATCACGATGGGCCCGACTGGGACCTAATCCCCCATCAGGGTTGGAAAACTGAACCATGCTGAGTCAGCATACACGTCAGCACATACACATGCCTCTTGCACCTGCCTTGTTTACCTTTTTTTTTTTTTTTTTTTTTTTTCCTCCGCCCTCGATTGCCTCATCTGCCGCCCCTCACCAAAACTTCGACCCAAATCCGGTGTGCAGCATGTCATGGACTTCCCCCTGCGGCCAATGCTGCTTAAGGTATAGGATATGAGCTTTGAATTTCAAAAATAATATATGGTCGCAGTGGTAGCGAATTTTTCCGTGCTTGCTCCCACACCGCTCATTCCCTCCCATCTCCTCTCTTCATCCTGATCCTCCTATCCCAATTGGTCCTCCAACCCATACAGGCGTAGGCAACCGAGCGCAGCCGGTCCCCGACGTGATGTACCACCTGCTCCCGACGAGGTTGTGTACCACTATCTACTTTTCCTATACTACTACTGCTTCCAATATCATCCCACGACGTCTCGCTACTTCATTCATTCATTCTAACAATAGCACTCAAAATCTACTTCATTCATTCTGACAATTGGGGTGCGATTGCGGGTCTTTGAGTGCTATTGTCATTCATTCTAACAACAATCGCACTCGAAGACCCGCAATCGCACCCCAATTTGTTGCATCTACACAAAAGACGCAACAAACCAACGACAGAAACACCGCACGGTAATATTCACGTGTGGAAAAAAAAAAAAAAAAAAAGTATCCGCAGGTACTGCGTAGAAAATTACGGCAAACAGAACAATTGTGCCGCCAAAAAATGTCCGAACGTCATCTTTCCTTGCCTCGAAATCATCCCGTACTTTCTGGAAAAAGTGATTCAGGAAGTCGTTTGCGAGGGATGCGTGTTGCACCAACAGTACCTGGACGGGAATGAGGCTCCGTTCGGACTACGGTTATGGTCCAAACTGTGCAAGCAACCCGCGGCCGCCGCTGCCTTTTGTTTTGCTTACATGTCCACTGCTTGAAATCCTGCCCGGTCGGTCCTGATCGCTAGAGGCTTGTCCGACAAAAGGTAGCGGCGGCTGCTATCTTGTCCGACCGACCACATAGTGGTCTCGTTGTTTTTCCGTTCTGCAGACTGCCCAGGTACGGAGGATAGTTCTGCCTCACCTTTAGTCCGCACCCCAGGAAATCCCCGGTGCCCTTTCTTTTTTTTTTTTTTTTTTGTGTGTGTGTGTGTGCAGGATGAGGTATAGGCAGGCCCTACCCTGACATCCAGTGCTATAATAACGAATGAGTGCCGCGATTGGAATCCACCATACTGG